CTTGTTTTAGAACATCCTTGGATGAAATTTAAAACGATAAACACACAGTATCCTAAACTAATAAAAGAGAACTCCTTTACTAATTCAATCAAATAGATCTCTATTACAGGAAGACTGAAGTAACAATAATAACTACTTCTTAAAATCTAACTTAACATTACTCTTAAAATGCTCTGATTGTGGGTCTTGTAGGATTTTTAATGTGTCATTTTACTTCTCTATTGTTCGCCTTTTATAACCACTAACTTTGATGGTTCTACCTTCATTGATGGTTATGTTATTGGTAACTACTAGACAATTATCTTCTCTTTTGAAACAAAGTTGTGATTGATCATTTTTCACTTTTCTTTATAGTCTGCCACGTGGCCTCCTGTTAATGCCTTCATATTTGTCAGATATCGATGCATTGAATATCCCCATGATTTTATGTTTTAGGTCCAAACACTTGTGCAACTCACATGAGGCACCACTAGTCTATGAATTTAGAGATAAGTTTATGACTGAACCACTTGGAACTCATGTTTTTATCATAATTTAGTCTCTTAATAATTAATTCAGTCTTAATCAAGTCTTCCATCAATTTTTATCCTTAGATCAACTATAGATTATTCTAATCTAATCCATTTTAACGTTGATCTAATGAAGAAAATGAACGAAAGACTTAATTGTGACAATTGAAAATTTATGAATCAAATTTAAACCAAAAGTAAAGGTCAAAAAATAATTATGATTTTTACCAAAAAAAAAAAGGAGTCTAATGATGGATCTGGATCCTCTGCTGTTAGTTTTTTAGCAACAGTGGTGCTATTGCTCAAAACGACATTGTTTCGCACTAAAATGACATTATTTTATTAAGGGTTTATTGTAAGTTGCACATCGAAAGATATCTCGAATCTTAATTTACACCTTTCAAAGATAAAAAATTTCAATTTATACTTTTAAAAATATAAATTTGTATCAATGAGCATCTGAACCTAACAGTCGTTAGTTTGTCATCTAAAAATAATTGAGTTACACCTAGACCCCCTCAAATTTGTCACTTAATCATTTGGACATTTTCACATTTAGAATATTACTCTTATACCTCCTGACTTTATCCAGTGAGACATAACACCTTGTCATTGATATATGTTAATATAATTGTTAAAGACATTATTTTATCCTAATAAAAATTATAATTTTCATACTACCATTTATTTTATGGACTTGTTATATTCTAAAGTTTAAAATCAAGTTTATCATTTGAATGTCCAATATAATGCAAATATTTATATAATATTTTTTATATCCAATGTAATACGTCACATGAACAGAACTATTTGGATGCCCAATTGAGGAAACATTTTTAGTTATATTTAGATTCTCAGGAATGTAAGTAAAATATTTTAAATGTGACGGGTCTAGGTGATTAAATGACAAGTATTAGGGAGTCTAGATATAATTTATCTATTTAGTTTTAAACGGCAAAGTGTCGGCTGTTAGCTTCAGGTATATATTGATATATATTTATATTTTTGAGGGTATAAATTAAGATTTTTTATTCTTTAGGATACAAATTAAAATTTAGACAATCTTTCGAGATGTAATTTACAATTATCTTTTTTATTAAATAGAACGGAGTCGTTGTAGTGTGAAAAGACGTTATTTTGGGGAATAACACCTCTTCTGTAGAGTAGAACATCCAGACTCGTCTAATGATTCCACATAATAGTAAAACCAATATGGACCCTCCAATTGGCTTGGCCTCCCAGTTTTCTAGTGTTAATCAAATGATCAAGATTGTATAAATGACATGATCAAGATATAAAACGAATGAAAATTCAATTAGAATATTTATATACTAACGATACCTCGTGACTGAAGTCACTAAATATTAAATTATGATACTATGCGTGTATTGGAGTGTGTGTATAGTTGGAGTGTATATATAATGTGTGTGTGTATGTGTAGTGAGTGTGTACTGAAGTATGTGTAACTATGTGTTGTAGAATATTTGTGTTGAGTTTGTAAAATTTGGGAGGGAAAATGTGAAATTTGGGGGGAAAAATATACCCCCCATAAGTTCAAACACCTAGCTATCTTATTATATATATATATATATATATATATATATATATATATAAACATACATGGACAGAACTACACAAGGGCGAGAGTGGGGTAGATAGGAGAGATAGTTGTATCAATTAGTATGAGATAGAAAGAGAGAATTAGATGAGAGATAGGAGTTTTAGAAAAAATTTGCATGAGAACCATTGGATCAATAATCATCAAGCGATTTGAGACGCAAAAAACTCAATACAAACTTTTCTAGCTACTTTATTATATAGATTTAAAAATAAAATAAATTATCAATGAGAGAGATAAAATAGAGAGAGTAATGGAAAGAGAGATAGAGAAAAAAAATAGGAAAGAGAAAGCGAGAGTAATGGAGAGAGAAGGAAGGAGAGATAGAGAGAGAAATAATAATAACTATGCATAATTTAAAAAAGGGTAAACAAGTAAAAAATTTTAAATGTCATTTGAATTTTATACCTAATTACAAGATGTTTTATTAAAATTGAACTTAATATCGTAAAATACTTATTCATACACTTCCTCTCAAATAAATCTAAAAAAATGTACCTACACCCAAAAAAACTTTTTTTTTTTTAATACAAGTTGATTATAATTTTTATTCATAGCTTTGAGAATACAATTGTACATTGTTTGAGCAAGGCAAGAGTTTGTCTATTTATACACTAGGGTAGCATAGTTCTTAAGTAATTACGAGGTGGTCCCCTAGTTTGTCAAGAGTGAGATGGAATATTTAGTTGTTAGAAATTACATTTTCTACGTATGACTTGATAATATAACATTCTAGAGATAGATCTTTCATCCCTTGGATGAGATCCGAGATCATGGTGGGATAAACTGTTTTAGGTAAACTGAGTTTTCATTTAATAGGGGTTAAGTTGGTTCAAATCTTGACTAATCTGATTTCTTGAGTGACAACTTAGTCTGTCTGATCTCCAAGTTGATTGATTGAAATCTCCTGTGTGAATTGAGAAATTGAGTATTCACATATATTTCTCCTCAATCAACTGCATGCATAGTTTGACTTTTTTTGTTTACCTCTTTTTTCTAACATTTTCTCTAACCTTATTGTACATATTTTGAAAGGAGATGGTTTGACATCGTTTTAGCATTTAAATTGAGCGAGCAATCGAATCTGATATAAGTTACAATATGGGATTTGAATAAAGCAAAAGATTGACCACTGGAACACTAATAGCAGCAGGGATGAGATCATTTCTCCATGAGATCAGTTTTCTACAATCCATGTAATTTCCCTCCAACAAACCCTTTTGTTGGCCGGCCCTTTCTTTTTTTTTTTTTTATTTTAATTACCTGTAGCCAACATCTTCGTTCTCTTATGGGTTTTGGTCGATTCACGTTATGGCCGAGGAAAACCTGCGACCAATAATTATAAGTTTTTTTTTTTTTTCCGCAGAAATAACCTATTTTTTAGGGCTGATAACAAACGAGACTAGTCTAAATTGAACCGAGCCTGAGTAATTTGATTCAGTTAACCATCCTACTTGTCTTCCATGTGCCATGGAAAATGGTTGACAATCATTTTCACTAGTTTATTGCAATATTGTGGAATTTTTCTTGACAAATCCCATAGAGTGACTAATAGCTTCGCTTGAAAGCGCCATTTCACCCCTATTCCCTCCTACTCTAACCATATTTCAAAGGCGTCACTTTCTCTAACCTCTAACTGTGGACCATACAATAACAATTCATAAGTTTTGACATTTTTTTCCCTCATTAGTGAGGTTGATAAGCATTACATCTTGAATCTTACGCTATGTTTGGTACATGGTATTAGGCCTTAGGAATGGAATGGACATTCCATGGGAATGCCTATTCTAATGTTTGATTTGCAAAATTTAATATCCATTCAAATTCCAAAAGAATACCTAATCCCACAAATTATGGAATTGGGCATTACCAAATCCAATGTGGTATTCTCCATTCCCAAGCCACTCAGTAATAGCTCAATCCATCTGGAAAAAAAAAACCCGATTGCTCAAATCACACGCACGACTTGTTTTCTCTCGTCTCGTCTTCTCTCTCTCTCTCTCTCTCTCTCTCTCTCTCTCTCTCTCTCTCTTGCACACACTCTCATGAGATTTGCGTCTCTCTCTTTGAGATTTGAGACTCCATCTTTGTAGAGGTTCCCTGCTATCAATCTCGGAGCATCACTCTCGACAAAACAAGGATAAGATTTGTTACAAAAAACAACTAAGACAAGCTCAAATCTAACACAATTTCAAGTAATTTTTAGATCTGACCTAGAATTGTAGTATTTTGCAATTTTTCTTGAAAAAATTTGCTTTATGAGTAATTTTTAGCTAACCTAGATTCAAATATCTATAGCAATGTTTTTTGAATTTGTTAACTAGAATAAGTTATTAACATAAGTACTCATTATAATGAAGTATGCAATAAGTTAGAAATTTTATGAAAAAAATTATTTTGGTTAAATTTCATTCCATTCTAATAGAAATTATTTTATCCAAACTTTGTAATGGAATGGACATTCCATTCCAAGACTTAATCCCAATTAATTGTCAAACATTGGAATGGTAATACACAATCAATTCCATTCTCTAGCTAATTACATTCCCACTTAAAGGCATTACTGTTCAGCGTTACTATTTTTTATCTTTGTTGAATTCACATTTAGCTCTCTCAATTGAAGTTTTTTATTGGGTCGGGGGAAAGAGATGATGAGATTAAGTTTCAGCAGTGAGTATGGTGGTCATTAAGCCAACTGCTAACCTCCTCTCAATTGAAGTTTGAAACAGTTAATTTTCACACATTCACTCTCAATATACGAAATTTAAAGCAGAGGCCCTATTGACCGGATGCATGTTGAATTGCTATAGTGGTATTCGGTAAATGTTTTGGTACCACTGCCATTGCTAGTAACCATTTGATAACTTGTTTAGTTTAATGGAGAGGTTTTCAGGGTCAAGTGGGCATAGCACTGGACTGGCCGGAGCTCCGAAAACGTCATGGCCTGAATTGGTAGGTCTGACAGCAGGAGAAGCAGAGAAAAAGGTCAAGGAAGATTTTCCAAAGGCTGAGATTCAGGTTGTTCCACCAAACCATTTTGTTACTATGGATTACAGAACAAGTCGAGTCCGAATACATGTTGATTCCTCGGGAAAAGTTGAGAGGCCACCGAGAACTGACTAGACTATATGTTACTTCCCCTGAAAATAATCACTTTTGATCAGTCCTTCCAGCAATAAACCTTGTAGAACTTTTCCATGTTATATTAGGAATATGCTGATGAAAGCTTCTCTTCATCATTGTCTACAATGTATTTGGTTTGGTCATTAATGAATATTGTGTATGTACTACATGTAACTTAATGCATATGAACAGTTGACATAACAACAGGTTTTGGTTGGCTAAGTGAAGTTCGAAATGTGCAGGGGTAGGTACCCTGGTGGTTGTAACATTTACCAACCCGATCTTGCCAAACTGACAAAGAATGAGCTTTTTACCAAACTAGAGTGGTTTGGGAAAAAAAATTTCCACATTGTTTTGAAACTAATTCTCAAATTCAAGTAGTTTTTAAAAATGTCAATTACCCTAAAAGTAGCATGTTTAACCGACGATTTTAAGATAAAAACGTCAGTTAAGTTATCTTTTTAAAAGCAAGCCTAGTTTGTGTAGTGGCAATGGAAAGATCATTTGGACCACCGTTTTTTGGAGCATTTTTGGCTTGACAAAACAAGAAGTAGAAAGAACGATAAATGACAAGATGTCAGGGTTTATTAGTAACCATGGAATACAGACCAGACTGAGTGCTAATACTCCTTGATGCCTTGGGAAATGTTGCCAGTCCACCAAGGATTGTCTAAACTGAATCATCTTCAATGAAATAATCAACGTGGTCCTTCTAATAAAAACCTTATAGACCTTTACAATTTGTTAAGAAAATTCTATGAGCTTGACAATATCTCCATTTTCCATGGACAAACACAAGCTCCTAGACTGCTTTCTCAAATGAACATGACTCGGACAAACGAAAAATGATGAAATATATACTGAAATGTCACGTATTCCTTGAAAGGCCATTCAATTTGTAGCAAACTGTCCAAATACGCCCTTATAACTCGTGAGCATCCCCAAAAAGAAAATTCATCCAAGGCTGCAAGGGGTCTGAAATGTGAATCAGTGATGTTCATTGCACAATGCGATGTCTTGCGATGCACACACAGCATGACCAAAACCAGGTCATACTTTGGAATTTCTTCCACATAGTGTGGCAGAATATAACATGTATGCTAGTGTTGGCCGGCCTCTGCTTCCATGAGAATATCGAATTGATAAAACCGAAGGGGTCTACGTAGGATTTTTTTGCCTATAAATGAAGGTGGCTTTCTTTCTTTCACAGATGGAGCTAATAATATGGGGATTCTCTAGGACTGGTTGTTCTGTTCCTCACGGTTATGGCCAGGGGCGATGCCAGGAATTTATACATGGGGCACTAACTATAAGTTTAAAAATTAGCTTTCTTAAGGATTAAAATTAAAAACAAATAATTTTTTTAAATTATATATAATACCTAAAATTTTACTGACAAAAGAGCCAAAAACCAATATACATGAGGTACAAAAAAAATTGTAAAATAAGGTTCAAATTAGACCTTTTTACAAAAAATGAGACTAATTATAGTATTTTACAATTGACCACGACGTGATTTCATATTTTGTAAGCGCTGTATGATAACATCATTATCTATGCAATCGAAAATGTCATTCTCTATGTATACAATTAAGTTATTTGTCATCCATTGATCACCTATTTAATTACGCAATCTATTCTTCACAATCTTCATAGCCAAAAATACTCTCTCTACTGTGGCAGTCACAACTGGCAACATCAATATCAATATCACAAGTAAGTAGATCAATAGATATACCACGTGTTTTTTCGTCTCAACCATTTTCTGAGCAAGATCCCCAATCCCCATCAAATTTGAAAACTCAATATTAGAGCGCATTTCAATAATATAACTACCCAGTTGATCAGAAAGTATCATGAGCTCTAGTGAAGAAAATTCTTTTAGGTAAAATTAGGCAAGACAAACCAATTTCTCCTTGTCAAAAGCTAAGAAGGAATCAGAAAGACTCAAACATGTCACACAAAGAAGTAAATTAGTGTTTGAGTCGGTAAAACGACTATTTAGCTCTTCAAGTTGTATATCTATGACGGCATAAAATAACTCAACTTGATAGTAATACAAATTTATCTTTTCTTGAGTATGTCTTGACCTCTCTCGAGCTTTAAAGATATCGTCCATCTCTAGATCAATAATCTCATGTTTTTCACAAAAAGATGTGACATCATCAAGAAAACAACTCTAATCACTTTCCCTTATCATTTGAAGTCATTGCTTGGATATTTGAACAAACATTCACGATATCTTGATATTTTCTTTGTAATGCCTATGACAACTCATTTGTGATTCTCAAAATACTTCTCATCAAATGAAGATTGAATACAAACTCAAAAAATTATAGCAAATCCAAAAGAACATTTGTCTCCCCTCTTTATTCTGCATTTATACCATCTTCTGAAACCATATCAGACACATCAACCACTAATGAGAACATATCAATTAAGTTGATCAAAGAATAATAATGTAAACCCCAACGTGTATCACAAGCATGTGTAAGATTAGTTTCCTAATTTAGGCCTCGCCCACTTGAAAGCTCCGTGTAATTCAATTGTTTCTCCCTAAGAATATCTCGACGTTTACATGAAACTCCTACAATATTCACAATATTAGCAACCAAGTTGAAAAGAGTCGCGATTCGAATATAATTCTTTGCAACAGCCAAAAGAGCTAATTGCAATTGATGCAAAAAACAATGGATATAATTTGCATATTCATTCTCTTTCATTATAAATGTCGTGAGATCATTGAACTCACCTCGCATATTACTAACCCCATCGTAATCTTTTCACGCAATCTTGACAAGTTCAATTCATGTCAAGCAAATAAATCTTCTACAGCTGTCTTAAGAGAGAGAGCACTAGTATTAGTAACATGTTCAAAACCTACAAGGTGTTCAACTATATGTCCCTTCTTGTCCACAAATCGCAACACAACAATCATTTGCTCTTTTGTCGATATGTCACGTGATTCATCAACAAGAACAAAAAAAAAGTACATCATCAAGACAAGTTACAATAACATTACACGGTTCAATAGAAGCTGCAATTACAACGTCCTTTTGAATTTCAAGTGAAGTCAATTTGAAATTCTTAGGAGCATTTTTTAACACAACAACTTTAATATCCTCATTATGATCTACAAGAAATCTAAAGTTTCGCCACCCGATTGTTCTCCCATATCTGATTTAAAAAGATAATAGCACAAATAAAATGTTGTATCTTTTGCTACACTATACTCAAGTCAGGTACCAAACTGAGAAAATCGAGTTTTGTTAAACCGTCGTAGTTTAACACCACAAAATAATCTTTGGAAAATTTTAGAGAAATTTTAGACAATTTTTTTTCTGTAGTTGAAATTCATTAACAGCGGAAAGGAGAAGGAAAACTAGACGGAACAACAAAGGAAGTATCAGACCACGTTGACTGATCGAAACATATTTCTTGGAAGTTTTTATGATCAAAGAAAACAAGGAACGACTGGTTTTGATTTTTAAGGGTAGAATTTGAAATCAACAACTCATATTCCTTAGAGAAAAGTATACTTTCTTGATTAACAAATAAGAACTTCCTGGAAATGCTTTATTAAGAGCTAAAAAATTACAAGCTGATATAGATTGAATCATGGTAAAAAAAAAAAAAGCAAAATAATTGTAGGGTTGGGAATTTCAGTCCGCTTTGTTCATAAGAGTAGGGGTATTCAAATTTTCAATTACCTGTAAATTCTAATCCTATCCTACCTTACCAGACCTATCTGATCGGCCACCCAAAATAATCGAGTAAGCCAACGGAAGATCTTTTGATATTTTGCAAAAAATCGAAATGGCTTGCGGAATACCAACAAAATTTTCGTATTTCTATCCTACCCTATATATATATATATATATATATATATATATATATATATATATATATATATATATATATATATATATATATATATATATGTCTTTCTTGTTATGTAATTTATTATATATTTTTTAGTAATATTGGTTTATTGTGTTAGTTAATAAGTGCATGTTACTTAATTAAATTGTTAAAATTATTCAAAAATTAATAACTAAAAAATATGTGTTCACCCGATTTCTTATGACTTCCCACCCGATTGTTTTGGATGAAATTTGGGTAAGAATAGAGCACTTGATCAGGAAAAGTAGGCTAAAAAAAATTATTCAGTAAAGAATCGGGTAAGAAAATAGAATACCATAATTCCAACTCATAGGGTAGGGTGAACACCTAGACATAAAAGTGTCCTTTTAACTAATTTCCAGAAACAATTTATTTGATTTTCTTTCAATTGGTTCAAAGTTTTTGATCTATTTACTCCTCAACTTGATTGATGATGAGTTATTTTACAACTTATGTTGAAGGCTTGATTGAGAATCTAGTACAACTATTAATCCTCTAGAGGCAGGGAAAATTCAGTGTATTGCAACTTAAGAATCAGGGCTTTTACAATGCTCTGGCTTATATCGGGATCTAAAAGAGATAAGCTTACCACATGTTGGAAAATTAGGTTAATTCTCGCACCCAAACAAATGTTCTTTACAAAGCCAGTCTATGTACCTCATTTTCCATTTTTATTTTGCATTCTTAAATCCGAAAATTGGAAAAAAAAGTCCTGCTTCGGGGTTGAGAATTTCATAAATGAAATGTGCTAAACCTCAGGCTACTTGTCATAGAGATGCAATGGCTTCTGTTTAAATGAATTGCAGAAAATTTTTGATAGAGAACTATTTGGAAGCAAATCTTCTACATCTCAGTATAGCTATATTTACATGGAAGTCACTCTAATGCCTAAATAAACGAAAGGAAAATAATAGTCGTCTCAAGGGTTAAAATAACCAGAAGTTCTTGATCATCGACTTCCAAAGAGAAGGGATTCTGCAACAGATGGTTTAATGTGGACATGCAAACTCCATAGAAGACGGAAACGACATGGAAAAATCATCAAAGCCCTGACGATTTGCAGACGTTAGGCCAGTGGCCGAAATACCAAGTGATGA